ACCAGACTCAAACTTGAGCTTAAATTAGGTTTTTGTGCCAGCCATGGACTTGGACGGGAACTTGAAGATGACACCTGATATAATGGACCCTGAACCAGACTTGCACTTGAAATTGAACCTGGCCCTGGTCTTGAACTTGTATTCCGACTTGGAGTTGATGACAGCCTTGGACTAGATGAACTTGGAACCAGATTCAAACTTGAGTTTGAATCCCAATTTCTTCCCCGCGATGGACTTGGACTTGGAATTGAAGATGGCACCTGATACGAGGAACATGCAAGTTAACAACATGAAACTGATACCGGTTAACCAATCAGTGAAACATACTGGATAGTATTCTAAGACATAGAAGAAAATAGAAAAGACATTGTCAAGCCACAGCCAATCATGCAAATTTTAGAATGTTTAAAAGATGGGTTCCAGATTTTGGAACCCAAAGGTTGCGTCTGACTCTTTATACGTTCGCCTAAAATTGCATGGCTTTCATTTTGTTTATGAACAAGGTATGGTTCATGCATTCCGAGGTGGTATCAAACAAATAGCTCACATCCCATCCATTTTATTGGAACAGCAACAGTTCGTTGGACTTCTGTGCTTGCTGTGAAGAATCAGCAGATTTTTCCATTTTTCTGTCTTCACATTTCAGAGCATCAACACATTTTTGACCCCTTTTTCAGAACTGCAACTCAACTATTTGAGATGCTAAACAAAAGCTAATACAAACTCAATTCAACTTCAAAAGCTCTAGTTCCAATTACTTGGGGTTGGATACATAAATCCTATTCTATTATGATCTCAACTATAAAACATATGATACAATCCTCCACACCATCTTTATGCATATAGACATAGTACATTTAATAACTAAACCATATTATTGTAGCAGAAGACCACCATTGAGTGCAAAACTTACATTAGGAGCAGTTTACAGAAACCTCTCCCAAGGATTCCGAAAATATCAATGGACAACATTCAAATTACTTGATCAACACTAACCTGCCTCCGTCTTTAGAAACGTCACAAACTCACCTCCTCCCCTTTTAAGTTTCCATGTAACAAAAGGCTCTATTTTCACTTTATCAGAAGTAAATTAGTCAAGGCTTGTAAGGACATGCCACATAGATAGAATAGCTTTATTGACATTTATAAAGAATTGGAAAATACAAATCCACCATCATAGATATAGCCATTATTAAAGTCACAAAGACTAGAGTCAAGAGGCAATTACAAGAGAGGATAAATGCTCACATGCAAAGGCATAAGGACAACATCTGCAAGCAATTGCAAACTTTTTAGTTTCTTCCGATATGCCAACTCTCTTTGGATTGCAAGGTCCACTGACATAACATTCTTCCTCCTCGTTTCAGCCATTTCCGTTTCAGCCCTATTCCTGAAATCTCCAGTTAGCAAGTTCTCCATTTGTTGTATTTACCCAGAAGAATAATGTTCTCCATTGGTGTGCACTTGTACAAAATATAAAAAATTATTCATTTGTTGTATTAAGCCGTTGAAAACTTAAGATCCTGGTATGAAGTTGATACTGCCAGTAATTTTCTAAATCACTCCTTACATAGCAATAATTAAAAGATGAAAAGAAAGAAAATAAAGGTATGAAAGTTTACGGCACGTACAGATCCAAAAGGATGAAAACTAGAAACATAAAGTTAAAAAGAGAAGAACTACACAGAATATAATGTCCAGTAATTTTCTATGAAGCTGAAAACATATTTTATTTTTATTTAGAAATGAACAATGTTTCTTCTCCCAGGAAATAGTATAAGCATGACTTTTCATCCACGGATTACATCTCCACTCGCAAATAAGATAATATGCACATTTTGTACCAAAAAACCTTAAATTTGATGTAAAGTAAAATTTGTCACATTTTCACTTTTCAGTCATGTTTGTATGGGCCTTGAAAGATATTTTTTCAGAAAGAAAAGAAAAGAAAAGAAAAGATTATTACAGATATCTTAAAGGTACATTTTCTTTTACCTGCAGCTGTTATTTCTTAGATATAAAACATTGATAAAATGGATATATCAGAATTCCAGAAGTAAGAAATCATGCTTGAATAGGGGAATTGATAAAAAAGAAGGGTAACGTGCAAATAATCCCCTGGTCTGCAATTTTGATCAATTTTTTATAAATAAAAATCCCAGAATACCCTTAAGGGAATTTTTTTTTTTTTTTTTTTTTTTTTCAATAAATTTTTTTTTTCCTTCCTAAAAATGCCTGTTGCCCGAGTGGTTGGTTGCTCCAGTGTGCCATGTCTGGGAGCCCTTGAGCCTTGCACGCTCCCCTCCCCACTAACCCCTAACATTCTTGCCATAAAAAAAGAAAGAAAAAAAGAAGGTGTCGTCCTGAAAATATGGTATTATAGACGAATATATTGGAGACAACATGGATATTTCATTCCTAAGCTTATTTCCTAATTGAACCACTGAGGCTGTTCAATAAGAAAATGTTTAATTAAGATTAAAAAATAAAATAAAATAGAAGTAGAAGAACACATCTACAAGTTGATCGAAAGGCATAAACATCAGGAAAATCAATATAAATGACAGACCCACATAACACACTTGCATTTCAATAATTTCATGCTATTGTTTGATAAAACAGAGAACAAATCATGATAACAAAAGCAATAACAACTACCATATGAAAAAACTCATGCGGCAGTCATCAGAAACAAAAATCAACCATGAGTACCCATCAGCTAAATGCAGAGCCTATACATACACATACACACACACATAAACAAATGGGAGAGCTTGGAGAATGGAGATGCTTACAGTGTTGAGAATGATTAGGAGACTAGAGTGAGAAAGTAGGAGTGTCTATACGGTTGAAAACGGACTCTGACACAATTGGGTCTAGGGTTTGCGATGGAAAGGAAAAATGGAGACAGAGGTTTTATTGTTGAGAAGGAGAGAGAGAAATGAAATTTCAGTCTTTCACAGAAAAAGGAGAGAGAGAGAGAGAGAGCGAGAGAGAGAGAGAGAGAGTATTGAGGAATGGCAACTGACACTTCACAGGCACCAAACGGCGAAATTATTCGATGGTCATGAATATTCCATGCATGATCAAGGTTCATAGGGGCGTTTTGATCATTTGAAAGAATTCATAAACCATATATTTATAAAAAATAAATCTTTATATATATATTTTTTCACTATCTTGTCGATGAGCTTCTCCTTCTTTTCTAGTTTTCTTTAAATATTTCAAATACGTGGATAATCATAATGGCTCACGGCTCTTTTTTATAAGGGCATGTACGCAATTGCAAAATTACTTATTCAATTTTTTTCTTTCTTTCTGAGAGAAAAAAATGATGCGAGACCCACAAAAATAAAAGCCAAAGTTTTTCTGCTTTTCTCTCCACTTTATAAAAATATTGTCAATTCAAATTTGCACAAAAAAATGTCCTAAAAGGTCCCTCATACAGCATTATTTTTTCAAAATGAGTCATGTGACAAGAGAATGTGGGAATTTAAAATCACTAATCTAATTTAATTTCTTTGAATGACATGAGCATTTGATTAGATTTGATTCTAGGAGGGATTATAGGACAGGAGGTTGATTTGTGACGTAAATCACTTTTTTATTCAAAAAATAAACTAAAAATTAATATAGGGGGGATCCTAGCAGTTTCTGGCAGCCCAATAACTAAAATATCTGGGCTTGTGCAGGGTTTAGGCCCACTTAGTCAACCATTTTTTATTGGATAAGTCAGGCATACTATATTATTGGTATTACTATCCAGTGAATATGAACCATTTTTTTTTTTTTTTATTCCTGAAAACTAAACAATATAAACCTTTAAGCAACATTAATACTATGATTTAGATCAAAGAGAGATTCTTGCTGCATCTAAACCTTCCTTGCATGCTTCAGTTGCTAGTTGATGAGGAGTGTGTTTTACACCATCATGAGCCCTTCTATTTCTTTCTCCCCGAATGCACCATAATGTTGTTGTTGTAAACAAGCATCTTTCCAGTTTGCACTTTATAGAGTTGAATGGAATATTAGCTATAAACCAATTAACCAACTTCCAAGAGTGCTGCAGATTCATGGCCTAGTTGAAAAAGACTCTTTCCAAGGGATTTGCCTAGTTGGAAAAGACTTGACCCTGGTGCCTCAAAAAAAAAAAAAAAAAAAAAAACATCTTTATCTTAGAACTTAGAATGTGAAGCTGAGCGTGTGAGTGGTTTTGTTGGGTTAAGCCTACTAACATCCCGTGTATGAAATTTATTACAAGATGCACCATTTAGTTAGTTGAGAAGGACTTTTATGTATAAATGAGACCAATTTGATTGGATTGTGCATATTTATTGGGTGGACATATCAATAACATGGTATGCCCCTGAGGCACCTAATATTTACTCCCACAACCTAACTCAAATTGTTCACGTGTCAGCATAGATCAAAAATCTTTCTTTAACAACCTCACTTGGGTCACTTATAAATTATAATTAGTCTATTTAAGGTTGGACACTCGTTGGATTGAGAAATGTAACTTCATTTTTTTTCTTGGTGATAGGAGTGCAACAATGAGTGAGTAATGTGAAACCCTTTTTTTCTTCTTGGTAAGACGATTACAAGTGTGTTAGAAGATGCTCGAAATGCAATAACAGGAAAAAGAATAGAAATAAACTTTCATCATGACTCATTTATATTTATTGGCACTCTCTTCCTAAAGAAGTAACTTAAAACTTGGAAAAGCATGAATCAAACCCATGACAAACTTCTTTTCAGTTAATCAGAAATCTCATTAATTCATAATGAGGCTAGTTTACTTGAGATATAAATCCAGAACAGAAGCTAAGCAGGTTACGAGTTTTTTCAACTCACATAATACACCTCATGTCTTGGAAACAATCCATTTCTGTGCGCAGTTCAATACTGCAGTTGGAGGAAACACAATTTTAGCATTTGGAAATAATCATTAGAATCTAAACCATCCACCTTTTACAGTACTTTTTGTACATTGACAAAAGTTGAAGAAAATAAAATACTTCCATAAAACTTCAACATGATTAACCTAAAGGGTCAAAGGAAATATACAAGTTTTGCCATACTCACTTTCTATAAAATACATACAATTGTAAAATAAGGTGTGTATAAATACGAGAATATATGAAATTTCTTAGAAAAGTGTAGCTTTTCATTGTGCACGTGGGCTGGACCTTAGGCCAAAGAAATTATACATAAGCACCTTTCTTTCAGTTGGATCACTGGATCATCTTCAATTCCACCTCTTCCAAGTCAATTGCCATCGTTGCAGTCTCTTCCCCTGTAGCCCTCTTGTTTGTCCCAGTAGCATAGAGGCGAGCGACATGATTTTTGCCCTTGAGATGTTGCTCAAATGCATCTTCATTCATGCACCATATTTGACATAGTTCGCACCATGGCTGATTTACACCATTTTTCTTACCAAGTTCCAACTCTCGTAGTTTAGCTTGGTGTTTTTGACCTTTTAGGTGCATCTGCAATGCATCCTCATCCGGGCACCCAATTTGACACAGTTGACACCATGGTCGTTGATCTTTTTTCTCCTTGCCCTCTTCTCTGCTCAGCTGCAATTGTTGCAATCTAGCCTTGTGCTTTTGACCTTTTAGGTGCTGTTTGAAATTCGAGGCACCTGAGCATGGCACTTCACAGACTTTGCAAATGAAGATCCCTTTTTGATCTGTTTTAATGTAATTATTGTGAGATGGCCTTGGCTGTTGAGGTGGGGGTGGTTGGAGGTTGCCAGTTGATGCTTTTCTCTTTATGCTTGACAGACTAGGCCTTGGCCTCAGCCATGTACTTGGACTTCGAATGCTACTCGGTCTTTGAGTTGGACTTGGATTTGAAGATGACACCTGATTCAATGGACTCTGAATCAGATTCGGTCTTGGCCCTTCTGGTCTTGGACTTGGAACTAGTGGTGGCCTCAGATTTAATGTTGAAGATGGACTATGAACCAGATTCGGTCTTGGCCCTTCTGGTCTTGGACTTGGAACTCGACTTGGAACTAGTGGTGGCCTCGGAAATAAAGTTGAAGATGGACTCCGAACCAGATTTGGTATTGGCCCTGGTCTTGGACTTGGAATCCGACTTGGAACAACTGGTGGCCTCGGATTTAAAGTTGAAGATGGAGACTGATTAGATGAACTTGAAACCAGACTCAAACTTGAGCTTAAATTAGGATTTTGTGCCAGCCATGGTATTGAACTTGTATTCCCGCTTGGAGTAAATAAAAGCCTCAGCGTTGGACTAGATGAAATTGGAACCAGATCCAAACTTGAGTTTGAATCCCAATTTCTTCCCAGCGACGAACTTGGACATGAAGATGGCACCTGATACAAGGAACATGCAAGTTAACAACATGAAACAGATGCAGGTTAACCAATTAGTGAAACACACTGGATAATACTCTTAAGACTTAGAAGACTAAGAAAAGACCTCTCTCTAGTAATTTGACATGATTTGTTGACTATTTAGCATTTTAAGAATTGTTAAACCAAAGCCAATCATGCAAATAGAAGTGTTTTTCAGTGATAGGTTCCAGATCTTGAACCTAAAGGCTGCTTCTGACTCTTTAATTTGCTGTCCCCCTAAAATTTCATGGCTCTCATTTTGTTTATAGAAAAGGTGTGCGACATGCATTTCGAGGTGGTATCAATCAAAGAATCAGGCCAGTCTACATTTAAGTGCATTTTATAAAGAACAATATTATAAAAGTAACTTTAACATCCACAGAATAAAATTAAGAAACAAACTATTTAATACAATTCTAATTAGTTGCTACTTCAGATGTGTAGCCATGTTCACTGGCATACACATATAACATTACTTTTCTAGTTTACAAGTAAAGACATGAATCACAAACATAATCAACACTAAACACAATCAATGAAAGCATATAGACATGATCAGGTTCCATTGTTTATTAGAATAATGCAAGGATTGTGTGTTTTTCTAATGTGTGTGTGTGTGTGTCTGAGAGAGAGAGAGGGAGATTCCTACCCAAAAAAAAAAACATATATATTAAAAGCACCTACACCAGAAGTATACAAAACTATAAGAACTCAAACTCCCATATCTCCCAGAAAACTAAGAAAATAGTTTATCAATATGGAAGACTAGGCTTTAATCCAAAAGCAAGGAACTCAAAAGCTGATATTTCACTCTGCAAGTAGGCAACTCAACTCCATCAAAAGAATGCATGTTCCTTTTTCCACCAAAGACTTTACCATATATATAATGGAGTTGCCTGCCAAATATCTCTGATTCTCCGACATAGCTTACATCCTTGCCAAATTAGACATAACTCATATTCTCTAGAGAGCGAAAGAAATGGACCCACAAATCTGCCATTAGACAATGCAGTGGCAAGTAGCTCACATCACATCCCTTTTCTTGGGACAGCAACAGTTTGTTGGACTTCTATGCTTGCTGTGAAGTATTAGCAGATTTTTCCATTTCTATGCCGGCACATTTCTGAGCATCAACAGATTTTTGACCCCCTTTTCAGAACTGCAACTCAACTATTCAAATGCAATTTTTCTTGAGATGTTTCACGAAGCTAATACAAACTCAATTCAACTGCACAAGCCCTAGCTAGTTCCAATTACTTGGGTTGGCTACATAAATCCTATTCTATTATGATCTCAAATATAAAACATATGATATAATCCTCAATGCCATTTTTATGCATATAGATTATAGACACAGTACATTTAATAACTATAGAAGACCAGCATTTGAGTGCACAACTTACATTAGGAGCAGTTTACACAAACTTCTCCCAAGGATTCCGATAATATCAGTGGACAACATTCAAATTACTTGAACAATACTAACCTGCCTCCATCTTTAGAAACAGCACAAACTCACCCCCGGCCCTCTCCTTTGAGTTTCCATGTAACAAAAGAATCTATTTTCACTTTATTAAAGTAAAAATCATCAAGGCTTGTAGGGACATGCCATATAGATAGAATGGCTTTATTGACATTTATATATAGAATTGGAAAATACAAATCCACCATCATAGATATATATATATAGCCATTATTAAAATCACAAAGACAAGAGTCAAGATGCATCAATTACAAGAGAGGATAAATTCGCACATGCCAAGGCATATGGTCAACTTCTGCAAGCAATTGCAAACTTACTAATTTCTTCCGATGTGCCAACTCTCTTTGGATTGCAAGCTCCACTGACATAACATTCTTCCTCCTCGTTTCAGCCATTTCCCTTTTGGCTCTATTCCTGCAATTTCCAGTTAGCAAGCTCTCCATTTGTTGTATTTATCAAAAAGAAATAAAGTTCTCCAATGGTTGTGCACTTGTACAAAATATAAAAAATACTTCATTTGTTGTATTAAGCTGTTGAAAACTTAAGATCCTCGTAACAAAGGTAATCATGCTTGAATAGGATAAAATTTTGTAATATATATATATATATATATATATATATATATATATATATATATATATATATATATATAATTTAATGTTAGAAATATCAATAGAACTGATATAATGAGGTCCTGAAAATATGCAATTATTGACGAATATATTGCAAACATTATGGATATATTACCCCTAAGCTTATTTCCCAAGTGGTTAATTTTCTCACATGCTAATATGAAATTTTGAATAGTGATAATAAGAAAATGTTTAATTAAGATAAATTAAAAATTAAAAATTAAAATAGAAGTAAAAGAACACATCTACAAATTAATCCAAAGGCATAAACATCAGAAAAATCAATATAAATGTCAGACCCAGGTAACTTGCACTTCAATAATTTCATAGTGTTGCCTGATAAAACAGAGAAGAAGAAATCATGATGACAGCAGCAACAATAACAACTTCAATAGAGTAAAAATTGTACACATCAGAAACAAAAAGTAACCATAACTCATAAGTTACAATCAGCTAAATGTAGTCTATACATACACATGTGTATATATATATATAATGAGTGTTTATATGTATTATATACACAAACATAAACAAATGGGAGAGCTTAGAGGATGGAGATGCTTACAGTGTTGAGAATGATTCGGAGACTAGAGCGAGAAAGTAGGAGTCATTATATGGTTGAAAATGTGTTGGAACAGAATTGGGGCTAGGGTTTCCAATTGAAAGGAAAATTGGAGACAGAGAGATGAGTAGATGGTTTTATTGTAGAGAAAGGGAGAGAGAAATGAAAAAATCAGTCTTTCACAGAAAAAGAATCCACAAAACTCTAGAAGAGAGAGAGAGAGAGAGAGAGTAAAGGCAAATGATACTTCACAGGACAAGAAGAACAGGTTAGTGTTTTCGCGGGCAAAATGAAGGTGTATATTTTGGTCAATAAGATAGAAATGAGGGGTATTATCGTCAGTTTGGAGTGAATATCAAAATGGGTCCCCAAACTGAAAACGGCGAGGAAGTTGTGGAAGCCCGTACGAACAGGCTTCTGGGGACGGACCTTAGGTGACACGTTCGTTTCGTCCCACTACCACTAACATTTGGACACGTTACTAGGGGCTCCGGCCTTCGAACTCACTCATCTGCAGTCACCATATGCGGTACCAAAACAGCATCTAGGGCTGTTGTAATTAACAGTTTGGGAACAATTCGTCTAAATCGTTGTGTTTAAATTTATTCATTAAAATAAATATATTCACTTCTAGCTTGTGTTTAATAACAGAGTGACTCCAAATATTATTATGCTCAGCTAGATTTGTTTTTTTTCATTAACAAAGTATTAATCATATTCTTATATCAGCTGAATATATTAATATATACTTACATATTGTAAAATTTATATAAAATCATGAACAAGTTAAAACGATTTTGAAAACAAATTTGAACTAAGTCAAACACGAATAATATATTAAAATTGATTCTTTTTTCACTAATGAGCCCCGTGGATTTTTTCAAAAAAAGAAACTTTTCTATTTTCAAATAGAAGTATGAAAAAAAAAAAAAAAAAAAAAAAAAAAAAAACACACACACACACACACACGCACAGAGGAAAAACTTTTATTAATTTGGTTTACAAAAAAAAATTTAAATGAAACAAGTTTTTATAAGAGCATGCAATCAGGCACAGACCTAGTGACTGAATTTTTTTATTTTTTTTAGTATATATTAGAGTTATTTTTTTCTTTTTAAAATTATACATTCATGAAATTTTAATATTTGTCCCCCTTGAAATTACAAAAAAATAAAAAAAAAATCCCTCTATTATCTCCTCAAACAATTTTCTGAGCAATTTAAAAAAATTCAGCATGTTCATTATCAAAATTTTCAAAATAAGGTGTAAAGTTGAAAATAATACCAAACAGGTGCTAATCTTTCATTTACCAATTACCATCCTCAATTCTTCTTACTTTCTTAGTATATATAATTAGAGATCTAGAGGCAACAATGGATTGGGTTATGCTTCGGTAATCTATCTATCAAAGTTGTAGATGGTGATAAAAAAAGTGAGAGTGCGGAAATATAATTTTTTTTTTTTCCTTCATGTTTGCTTTTTCCTTTTCAAAGAAAAAAATTCATCAATTATGATTAAGTAATCAAATTATCTAAAAGGATGATTATAAAGATACAGAATATTGTCTGTTTCACCCTGCCCCACTGTTAGGTAGGATTTAGGTTGTTAGATTAGATTCTTAAACCACACACCATCTAACTGAACCTAAACCAATTAAATTGACTCATTTATCTTAGACTTAAATATAGTTCTTCTATTCCTGTATTTCATAGTACAACTTTTAGCACTTATACATAATGTCTTAATAAATGCATAAACAGCCTTCCACTATACTGAAATTTCGTTACTACCTGAACTCTTAGGATTTTGCACGATTTGCAATAATTAAACATACAAAAAGTGTATTAAAGGTTTTGTGACCTAATGGCATTTTTTCGACCTCTCAAAAAAAATTGGTAAGAATTATTGAGTTTCTTACCAATGAAAAAATAAAATAAAAACATACACAGTGCTTTTAAAAAAATAAAAAATAAAATTATTGTTATATGCTCTCAAACCATTGATCCATTTTCAATGGGCTGGCTTTTCCTTGTTCCATCCTGATAAAACTTTTTAAAAAAATAAATAAATAAATAAAATTCAAATACAACTTGAAACACTTTTCAAGATTTCAATGACTTCTCTAATCCTATCGCATTAACTCTTCAATATATCCTAAGTACAAAGATGTGCTTAGCTTAAACTCCAAATTGTAGAATATATTATAAAGGTTATTTCTTCTAACTGTACAAAATAATCATGAAACTAATGAATTGTACAATAAGAATGGACATCCTTTGATTCTCTGAAAGAATAATAGCAGCAGCTTTTTTAGACCATTAAAACGTTTACTTTGCATGTTGTGAAGGAAAAGTTCTTGGCATTTACAATCCTGACCACAATGCATGTTTTTGACTATTTCTGCAAAGAATATTCCAGAAATTAAGTCTAGGAGAGTAACTTCTTTGAAGTTCCACAAATGAAATAATATTTCTTGTGTTGTCACAGCTAGTTAGTGCACATAAATTGCTGGAGTTGAAAAGACAATTCAACTGCCTCATTTGCCCTTAGAGATCTCCTCTAAAGGGTCGGTAAACATAACTAGTCCTCAAAGCTGGTTAATATACACTCTTATAACCAGCTTGAGTGATCAATTCCATTGATTTCAGTTAGTTTGGCTTCATTTGTTCAGCATAGAACTATTGCTATACCATTGATCATCATTGTTACTAAAGCTCAAACTATTATTTTCAGTCCACGACTTACTTCGTAGATTACACAGTTCTGCATTAGGTTTGTGGGTAGTTCAGAAACCAGCATCCAGAAGGACACAGCCTCTGTGATCAACAAGTTCAGACCTGAAAACCGGAACGGAGAAAGTTATAACACAACCAAAACCAGAAAGAAAAAGTAGTTAGATAGCATCTTAAGAATCTCATCTTTGGTATAGATTTTGGCCTTCCTCTGTTCTCAGATACTAATTATACTACAGACACTATTAGACAACAAAGATTGCAGCATATATACCATGCTCAAGTTCACCATAAGACTCTAAGAGGGAAATTTATCCCACGTTTACTTGGCTTCATAAGAATTGGATGTTTGAACTGAGAGTGTGCCTGACAATACCAATGGTTATAAGGCAGTTCAAGCTGTCTCAGTTTAGGCCAAAGAGAACATCATATAGGAGGAATCAAAGGCAGTAGAGTGACTTCAACATAATACAACTCTAACTAAGAAATTGCATGCAGTTTCTATGTACTCTAAAAGCCCATTCGTAAATGTTCTAATAAAATTTCAATTGGGAATTCTTTTACAAAGTTGCTACAAAGTCTCAAAAAGATATCTGTGATCAAAATTGAGAAAATTCTTTAAAACAAGGAATGATGAATGCTTTCTACAAGAAGAATAGCATGAAGGCTACACATGAATATACTTGATGTACTTTGTGTGTAAACCTACATACAAATTGAACTATGGACACTTATATTCAAGCTTTCACTACAAGAGGAAGAAGAGGATACGGAAGTGAAATTCCCCCGGCTGCCTGAGATCTTAAACAACATAGCTAGCACCTCCTTCATGTTTGGCCTAGCTTGTGGCGACTCTGCTGTGCACCTTATTCCAATCCGAAGCAACTCACACATTTCCTCTGCCCCCTCTGCAAGCCCAGATCCCAAAAGGGCAACTGGTATGATGGTTCGACTAAATCCATTTCGTCCATATCCCATGACCCTTCTGGCCCATTCTACTAGACACTCTTCCCCTCCATCCAGAGCTCGCCTCCCAGTCGCTAGCTCCATTGCCAGTACCCCAAAGCTGTACACGTCACCTTTTGTAGTGGCATGCCATGTCTGACCATATTCTGGTGCAACATAACCTACTGTGCCAGCCACCATTGTCGTGACATGACTATCTCCAGCATCAACAATCCTAGCCAGACCAAAATCTGTGACACAGGCCTTCCCATTCTTATCGAGGAGGACATTGCTAGCCTTGACATCTCTATGCACAATAGCAGGGAAGCACTCATGGTGTAGAAACACCAAGGCATGCGCAATATCTAATGCCACATCGATACGCCTCCACCATGTCAGCCTTGTTCGATCAGAAACAAGATCCTCCAAGCTCCCACCTTCCATGTACTCATAAACCAATAATTTCTCTGACCCATCAAGGCACCATCCATAAAGTGTCACAAGATTCGGGTGTGGCCAACCGAAGCCGTTGCCACTTAGAACCTCCATTTCAGCTCGGAACTCTCTTTCCCCCTCAATACCCTTTCTTTGCAGCTTCTTCACCGCAACTTCTCTCCCATCAGGCAATACTCCTTGATACACAGTTCCAAATCCTCCCCTTCCAATAATTCGGTCCTCCGAGAAGTTTCCTGTAGCTTTCAAGATGTCAGCGTGTGTAAATGCTGTTTTGTCCAGACGGATGACCTTAACAGTATCTGACAACCATGGAGAAGATCCACTTGAACTTGACATGAACACCTTCCCACCCTTCACATCCTCCAAGAGATATCCTGGCTCGTCTACTGGGCTCTTTATCAATAGGCAGACTATGAGTGTCATGACACCACATACTAAGAAAGCCACTAGTAGAGCTAAGAACACCAAAAATGCACCCAATTTCGTAGGCTTCTTTACCTTTTCATTCTTGTTTGCTGGTGAAACATCAGTGGAATTTTTAATGAAAGGTGGAAGGAGCAGCAATGGGTCGCCAAAGTAGGACTCTTTCTCAAATGTTGCCAATTGCCCAGTTGTGGGGATCTCACCAGAAATGTTGGGATTGTATGAGATGTTGAATTTGCTGAGCTCATTCAAGTTGTTCAAGCTGGTTGGGAACGTGCCTGAGAAATTGTTATATGACAAGTCCAGGTTTTGTAAGCATTTGACATCACCAATTGCCATTGGAATTTCACCAGAAAACTTGTTCTGTGAAATGTTGAGGACTACAAGTGGCATTTGACTAATCTCTGGAGGGAGAGAACCATTGAATTTATTTTCACCCAAATGCAGCATACTGAATTTCTGCATCTTACCAATCTCAAGAGGGAGTTTACCGGATAATTGGTTCCCACTAAGTTGGAGATAACCAGATATCTGAAATGTCCGGACAGTTGAGCCAGGCGCACACACTGGGAATAAACCATATCCTTTCAGCAACTTATCCCAAAGGTTTCTGCAACTCTTCCTTGTAAGCAATGTATACACAAAACTAAAAGGAGGATAGTCTGCCGGAATCCACCTCCTCATTACCAAGCACTCACCAGAACCAGCAGCAATTCCATCACTTTTCTGATTTAACTGGAAGGTTGGAGTTGCATTCAAACCAATATTTGTCAACTCAGGTGGGATTGTCCCGGAAAGTTGATTGTTCGCGAGGTTTAACCACAACAAGCTATTACAATCCCCCAACTCCAGTGGGATTTCACCTGTTAATGCATTGTTCGCAAGCATCAACCACAAAAGAGAACTTAAATTTCCGAAGGTTGGTGGTATTGAGCCGTTTAGCTGATTGAAGGAGAGATCAAGAGCTTGAAGGCCTGTCAACTTTCCATATTCAGGTGGTATATTGCCGGAGAAGTTATTGTATGCAAGAATCAAGAACTTCAAGCTCATCATTTCAGAAATTTCAACTGGTAATGACCCCGAAAAATTGTTCAAGCTCAGGTCTAGCCTCTCAATTATCGGCAACTTGAGAATTCCAGAGGTGTATAACCCCCCGGTATATGAATTATTATGTAATACAAGAAACTTCACCTGCCTGAATTTCCCAAAAATTTCTTGAATATCTCCCCCAAAATTGTTCTTGCCGATATCCAAAAAGGCCAACTTACTCAAACCCAAAAGAGACTCCGGAATTTCTCTGAAAAAATTGTTGCTCCCCAAGTAAAGCCCTTCAAGACCCCAAATCGATCCAATTTCTGCCGGAATTTTCCCTGTGAAGTTGTTTCCCCACAGATTCAAAATCACCAAATCCTTACAATTTGAAATTTCCTTGGGAAATTCTCCAACAAATGAGTTTCCTGACAAGTCCAGAACTTTTAGGCTACAATTTCCTGAGAAAATCGACGGCGAAATAATGCCATTGAAATTATTCTCAGATATAGCATACTCTCTCAGCTTCCCAAACCCTAGCCATACATCTCCACTAAAATTGTTGGTGCTCAGATCAAGATACTGCAATTCCGGGCATTCGTAGAAAAGATCACCAATCTCGCCGGTGAAATTGTTTGCCGAAATGTTTACAAGAATCAAACGGTTACAAATCGCCGGAAAACTCAACTGAATTGTGCCGCTAAATCTATTGACAGTCAGGTCGAGAACCTCCAAGCTGCTGAGTCCGGTCAAGTTAAGCACTCCACCGATGATGTTATGAGACAAATTCAGATATTTGAGGTTCTGGCACTGGCCTAGGTCGGCCGGAATGGCTCCGTCGACGGTGTTCCTCGAGAGATCTAGGTGCGTGAGGGCGGTCAAGGACGAGAAGTTTCCGAACATGTCGCCAGCGATTTGGCTCCCGGAGAGGTCGATTTTGGTGACTCGAGCGCCGGAGCAAAAAATTCCCGGCCAATCGCACGGCGAAGAATTCTGTTGGTTCCATTCGGCGTATCGTCCTCTGTTCTGGGGATTTCGATCTTCAAGGTGTGTTTTCAGGTTGAGCAATGCTTGTTTATCAGTCTCTATTGAATCTCCAACACCATTAACAACCTTACCTGCAATTCACATGTTTTCAGAATTACGAATTTCTGTGATTTAGGTCAATTCAATAGAATCATTCTCGAAAAACTAAAAAAAAAAAAAAATGATTCAGCAAACTACTACTAAATTATTACTACAACACACAAAATGATGAATTAATGCAAATACACTTATATATGTGATGTATTAATCATACAATTTTGTATGTGTATAAACATGAATGAGAGATTACAAAACTTAGACTGTGAGTACCTTCAATTCACATGTTCCCAAACTTCCAAATTACAAAAATTTAAGACAAATCAATAGCGTCAATTTCGAAAAACTCAAAAAAAAAAAAAAAAAGTGATTCAACAAACTACTAAACTTGTTGTACACCATACAACGAAATATATATATTTATATATCCACACATGTATATATATGTGTATAAACAAGATTGAGAGAATTACGAAACTGGAAATTGTGAGTATCATTTGTGTGTACCTGCAATTCACATGTTTCGAGACTTCCGAATTAAAATTCAACTCAAATCAATACATTGATTCTCGAAAAACTCAAAACATATATATTTATATGTATAGATTATAAAATCTGAAATTGTGGGAGCGACAGTGTATTTGGCGCCATTAAACACGAACAAGAGCAAGACAATAGTTGGTTGGTTAACAGTTCCGTAGTTCTGAACTAACAGAAATTTATGCACAATCAACAAATAAATGGATTTTTCCCGGAAAGTTTGATTGTATGATCCAAACAGAGAGGAAAAGAAATTTAGATGTAATGAAAGGCATAGATTAGCGTACCTGTAATTAAGATTAGGAAAATGATTAATGCGATGGGACGTGGATCGATTTCTTCCTCTGACATGGTCAGTGCAATCTAATCTTCTTCTTCTTCACTAATCAAGAGAGAGTTGTTACAGGAGCTATCGTGACTTAATAGGTAACCTCAATCCGAAAATCTTAAAATATATATATTATATGTGCATATATGTGTGTGTTTATATATACATATATATATATATATATATAATGCGTGTTGAATGTATAAGATTGTGGTTGAACTTAGAGCGCCTGCAAAGGGACCAAACAGAATTTCCTACAAAGTGCTTGTTAAATTCTAGAATATTTTCAAATTTTTTTTCAATAATTAATATATTTATGTCATCTAGAAAAATTAAATAATAATTAAATAAGTTAGACCTAAAATATTAGACAAATAATTTTTAGAGCAAAGTACAATAAACCCCTTACCTAATTTTTTACCCCCTTTGCTGTTCAGGGGAGGGGGGAAGGTACCAAAATGCTCTTATTACTATTTTATTTAAATCCTAATTCATCATAACTCCAAAAATTCATCTCACAAATGGTACTTTCAAAAGTTACAAATAATGCATGCACTAAAAACTTATGAAATAAGGATTCTATAAATATATGATTTGTGTAATAAGCCACTATAACCCGATAGAAATAGACAATCTAAAAATCTGCTCCAACAATTTATTTTATTTTTAAAAAATAAAATACTCGAAATATTTGTAAGAAAATTTTCATAATTATTCATTTGCATATAGAGTATAACATATACAAAATTTAGCCCCAATAGAGACCGTGTCAAGATATTTTCATTTTCTTATAGACTTGTCATTTTAAAATAATATATATCAAAATAAATAATCGGTCTTTGTTGAGGCTAAATTTTTTATATGTTGTACTCCATACGTACATGAATAATTCTATAAATTTTCTTGTAATTAAACCAAGTATTTTATTTTCTAAAAATAAAATAAGATTGCTGGAAGAGATTTATAGTTTGTCTATTTCTTTCTGGTTTTCTAAAATCATTCTTTCATAAGTTTTTCGTGTATATATTATTTGTAATTTTTTGGTGTATAAGTTGTGAGATATGAATTTTTGAAGTTCAGATAAATAAGGATTCAAATAAAACAGTAAAAAGGGCATTTGGGTCCAAACATCCACTATTTTACCCCCTTAAATAATTGGAGTGGATTATTTGATAAAAAAATTAGACAAAGAGAGTTTATTAGTTTTTACATAAACTTTTATAAAACAGTAATAGTTTTTTTTGGGAAAATTAAAACGGTAATAGTTGGTCACACGACACTTGTATATTGTCCAACAAAATTTTGAATGAAAAAAGATGGATGGACCCTCTCTTTTAGATTTTCTCTTTGTATTTTATGAAGTTAGATTATATGGTTAGCAGTTTGATACTTTTAATAATTTGACTAATGAAAAAACTCTAGAGAATATAATTAAATCCGCAAAATTAGAACATAACAATGAATAGGGACGTGAAATGCCAAGGACAGTAGTCCATGCACGGTGTGAGACCTTTGTTAAGGTGATTGATTCTCACATGGGACACGCGAGTCACTAATGGTCCAGATGCAACTTATGGACAAGTATGCAAATCAAATAAGATACATTTTAAATAGCTATTGTGAGTACATAGACATGTTAAGAGTTATTATATTATTTTATTTGTTTTAATTGATTGTGTGCTTTAAAAGTAAAACTTTTTTATTAGGTGCATCTTTTATACAGGGAGATTCAAATTTTTTTTAACTCATAATTAATTTTTAGAAATCAAAAGAGATAATTCAGTTCTCGTATTTGATTGATAATTAAATTATATAATATTTTGAAATTTCTATACAACATTTTTAGAGAACACTACCCTTCTTAAGTAGTTCGTAAAATTCATACCGTCAATTAGATTTTTAAATTGAACAGTTTCAATCCATTAAGTATTAATAATCATATTGTCATCAAATTTTTAAAATATAGTACAAAAATTCATAAGATAATTTTTTTTCAAAAAATTCCCCATATCTTATTTAGGGCTAGGACTTGAGTGGGCCTAACCCGAGCAACCCAAGTCCCGTTCAAAAATTTTATGGATGTGGGCAAGGTACTTGGAAATATGGGATAGGACTTAGCTTAAATTTTAGAGTCCGAATTTATTTTGGGGGGATTTGGGCAAAAGTTTTTTTAACCCGCCCAATTCGAGAAATCCGAAATATAAGAAAAGTAAATAAATTTTATATTTTTAATGTTATACGATTTAATATTTGTAGTAGGATATTAACCTAACTTAAACACACTTGTTTTTAAAAAAATAAGGTAAAATAAATTAGTAATTGAATTTTAGTTAAGGAAACAAAATAAGAAGGAATTTTATTATGTAGGAATTTTAATAGTAAGAATTTTTAAATTATAATAATATAATTTGGTTGATTTATATCTTTTTTTATTTTATGTCAAGTGTATATTATATACTTTAATATTTTTTCAATGCTTATTTATGAGTAAGATATACCGAGAGTTTTGTGGTCCTGATAAAAAAATTTATTAGTAAAACATTACAATTTAAGATAACACAAAAGAACACGCGAAACTCATATGATATGGCACAAGTTGAGATGGAAAGAAGGTTCTTTAAAACTTGGACTTGGTGCAGTTTGGCATGGGTTAACCCATTAACCCGCCCAACCCGTCCAATCTTCGTGCTAATATGTTGTCGTGTTTAAGTTAGTGCATTTGATGGAAAATGAGAACGATTCGGACGTTAGGGGCACAGTGGAGCCGCCCATGTTGACCTTGTTTTGCAAAAACCGGCTTCGTTTTAAATCAAAGTCAAAGGCAGTGATTGCTTTCACATCATTTTTTTTCTTTTTTCTTTTTTCTTTTTTCTTTTTTCAATTTTCATTTTTTTTTAAGGCTTTCACGTCTTTTCGTTTTTATGGTTCTAGAACCCCCTGACCAATACTTTTCTTCTTTTACTTTCTTTTGAAAAATGATTAAAATTATGAAATTTGAACAAGGAATGATTTATGTGGATTGGACTAATGTTATTATGATATTATTAATTAAATAGAAAAACTTAATTAATATATTTTTTAATAAAGTAAAGAATATCATGATAATTTAATAACTTAAAAGGAACCCAAATGAAAATTCTTTGAACTTGTACCTCCAATGAATTAGATATGATTCCATGTATTTTATGTTTATGTTTGGGTTCACGCAGATATCATTTACAATTTACATAAAATGCATTAAATATAAGCAGATCTTATATGATTGATTTATATTTGTATAGAATAGAGAGAGTCCAAAGGGTTGTGGTTGGGTAACATGAACATGATGGATCGAATGAGGAGACAGAGAGGCAAGTAACGGTGGACGGTTAGGATGTTTGTCTTTTTCTTGATATTGAAAATAGTAATTGTCTGACCAACAAGAATCTTTGGCCGTCCTTCACCTCTTTTATTCATTATTTTTTTACTCTACTTTTTTAGATTAATGTGGGTTTGGCTTTTCTCTTCTGTTTTATCTTTCAAAATTTTAGTCATCTTAACATTTAGATTTGTATGGTATTACGGCTAATTTTATTAAGAATAGTAATATCCACACGGAATATTTGAAATGAATTATTTAACAAAATAATTTTTAATTGATCAATTAAAAAAAGCAAGTCTAACAATTCATGTAACTATTCAGTACAAGAATTATTTTTTTTTATTAATATTTTCTAAAATGAAAAATTAAACCCAAGTAAGAAAAGAATGAATATATATAATCATGCTATGTTGATTGCAAAAAAGTAAAGATAGACCTTTCTTTTATTATTAATTAATTAACTATAAAATAGAATCTGAATATATATTACTATTTGTGCAAAATAGTTTTTTTTTTTTTTTTTTTGGAAATTTATTTGTACAAAATTGTTGTTATAACATGAGTTAATGTATGCCCGGGGCACTTGCTCCGCTTGACTAAGCATTCTAACATTCTAATTGTGTATATGTATAATATCCTCTAAAATTATTTCTTTAAGTTTTCCTTCTTTTCTCTCTTACTTTTTCTAACTCATTAAAAAATAAAATAAAATTTACCTTTTTAAATTAAACTCTAATTTTTTTTTTTTTCCTTTTTTCCCTTATGCTTCTTAAAATAAATTTATTTATTTATTCTTAACGCTGGGCAGGTGAACTGCTGAAATCCTGGCTTCATCCCTGATTCTAACACTAGAAAGGGACGACCCACATGAAAGAAAAAAAAAATGTCATTTCTTAAGTACTTCATATGAAAACTCAATAAATTCTTTTGAGATTTATGCATTTGAATAGCACAATGGCAATCTCATGCTTGTGCTCAAGCATTGTGGCAACCTTGTGAGCATATGTGCATAGCGGAGCGGCTACTATATTGGGTGGGTGAGTTATAGGTGTATAATTCTATATCGACTAGGTGTGAAAAGAGAAAAAAAATATTATATATATAAGATTTGTATACTCTAATAAAACTCAAAAGTAAATTCGTACGAGTAAATCGTTATAAATGATATCAAAACTTAACCCGACTGAAAATTTGGCCAACAAGAAGGTTAGGCCTCTAAACAAATTATTGTGACCACCGTATGGACAGTACCCCGGACAAAACTATGGCTATAGGCGCACAATCTCTTGAACAATGAATAATTTTCCCTTTTTTCTTTCTCTTTTGGGTGGGGAAAGGTGTGGTTTTCTTTCTTATTGTAACTCCCGAAACAGCAAATCAAAATGTGTATATTTGACCACTTTGGTCAAAAACAAGTATATGTCAGCAGGTGACATGGCATTTTATAATTTAACGTCATACTCTTTATCTCTATCTCTATTTTTTTCCCCAAGTGAGTCTTTATCTCTATCTCTATTTTTTTCCCCAAGTGAGTCTTTATCTCTATCTCTATTTTTTTTTCCCCATAAGTGAGTCATCTATTTTTTTCCCCCCAAGTGAGTCTTTATCTCTATCTCTATTTTTTTCCCCCTAAGTGAGTCTTTATCTCTATCTCTATTTTTTTTCCCCCATAAGTGAGTCATCTCCAAAAAAAAAAAAAAAAAAAAAAAGTGAGTCTTTATCTCTTTCTTTGGTTTTGAACTTTCTTTTCACAATTTGGAATTTATGTACCATATA